CCTGTTTATCATTGTTCACCATATTTTACACTTGTTTATTCAATTAGACTTTCATATTACACTAATTATTCAAATCTAATATATATATATATATATATATATATATATATATATATATATATATATATTACAGTTGCTCTATGTTTAATATTTCTTTATAAATATAAAAACAACTTTATAAAAATGGTACTTATTTCAGGACCAATGTGGTATTTAGGATGGGGCTCCTCGTCCTACGTGGGTCGTCTGGATCCTAGTACGGTTTTGATATGCCAATATAATATTTTATTATGGTTGAATTTAATCTATTAAATGACAACTTATATTATGTTTGGCTGGCAAACTGAAAGCAACAGATAAAAAATGGTATTTGGTTAATATTATTTGTAAGGCAGCTGAGAAATGTAAAATAATATAGATGTCATGTAACTATTGATTTAATATTATAAATGATTATAAATTGAGTTGATATATAATTTGATAAAATATATTAATTAAATTAATCTATTAGCTTTTTTATTTTGTAATATTATAGCTAGATTAATGTGTTTCTTAACATGAATTCATGAAATGTATGGGTATTTACCAACAAAAAATGTGATACAACATACTTTATTTTATTCTGGGAAATGAAAAAAAAATATTTATAAATTTTAAATGTGTAATTAAATTATCATAAATTTGAATGACATGAGTATTTACCGACATAAAGTACAGATATCAAAATATTTTTAATTTACTGTGGAATATTAAAAAAAAGTCACTAAAATCCTAAAACATTGCAGTATTGAAACCGAAAAGTGTCAATAAAACTTCGACTAAAGTGCAAATTTGGTCCCCATGGTTTGTCAAAAACTGTGGATGGAATCCAAAAAGTTTCTGACTTGCATCAATAGTCCAAAATTCAATCTTTTTGTGGTTTTAGTCCCTGATAAAAGTGAAGTCTTTTTTACCCTTTTAATTTCCTTTTTCCATTTTTTATATGTATGTTAATATATTTTTACTTTAAAACTAACAAAAGAAAATTAAGCTACCCCACCTATCCACCCATACCCTCCCCATTCTTTCTCTCTTTATATTTCTTTGACTTTGTTTCTTTTTCTCTTTGATTATTTCTTTTGTTCACCGGCTTCCCCTTTTCCTCATCTACCATTTTCTCTCATTTTTTTCAATCGAAACCTAGTGTCAGGAAAAATCAAGCCGGAGAAGCACAAGGTAAAGGAAATCCAGGAAAAAGTGGACACGACCAATAGAGGCTGCAACAAGGTTGGAGTTTCATACCGGATTGTTTTGTTCTTTCGGGTTTGTTCTCCATTGGCGATGTTTCTTCTAATGAAGAAATAACCCATGATTTTTACACCATTCATGGATCAATTGTAAGCAGAAAGGAACAAAATTTGATTCCCGGATATAGGGCTTGCTTGATTTTTTTCATGTAAACTTTAATATGATGAAAATTTTGGGTTTTTTTTAATAGATTAGGAGAAAGATGTGAAAAATCTGGTGGTTGTTGAGGTTTTTAGTTAGAAATAAAAGACAAATAGTTTTGTATGTGTGTTTCATAATTTATATGTGTGTGATTAGTAATTATCTGTACAGGGAGAATGACAACAATATAAACAACACAAATGAAGGGGATTGGGATATCTTGGTGGGTTGTATGTATTCTAATATTAAGTACTTGTGTGAATTCTAATATACAGGGGAGAAATCTAGGTTGGAAAGATGATGAGAATGTGTGTGTGAAAGGTTGTTGTTGGTGGGGGTTAAACAGACAAGTCAAAATGGAATAGATAGGGAAAATATAGTTTGTTAGTGGAGAATTGACTATGAAACCGTCGGATGAAGGAGTGACTAGGGGATGGTCGATAAGATACGCTAGAGAAAGCTATTTATTTCTGGGTTTGATCAATGATGTGTTTGTGTGTGATCTTGGTGTGGATTGGTGGTGGTTTAGTTGTTGTGATCTTGGTTCGATTGGTGGTGGTTTAGCTGTTATGATCTTGGTGGACAACTAAGAAAATTGGGATGCTGGAGGAAGAAGGTGTGTCAGACAAAAAAGATGTTGGGTTTGATCGATTGATTTTTTTGATCTTTTGAGAGAGAGAGGGAGAGAGAGAGAGAGCGAGAGAGAGAGAGAGAAAGAGAGAGAGAGAGGGTGGGTGGGTTGGATTGGCTATTTTTATTATTAATTTTAATCTAAAAAAGGATTAAAATACATGTAAAAAATATAAAATTAAAATTAAAAGGGTAAAAAAGTCATTTCAAATTCATCAAGGACCAAATTCACAGAAAATTTGTGATTTTGGACCAACGGTGCAAATTGGAAACTTTTTGGACTTTATCCACATTTTTTTGATAACCACAGGGACCAAATTTACAGTTTAGTCATAAAAATTCAATGAGATTGTTTCTAGTGACACTTTTTATTTGTGTCGTTAGTTTTCTGAGAAACCTTTACCAACATGTTTTTCGTTTTTAATAGCAATTTTTCTCTCAC